TTGCCCATCGTCGCTCTATTGAACGAAGATTTCAGTTTATTTTACTTCTCAGAAAAGGAATCATTCCGTGGCGAGTTATACATTCACGAGTCGATTAATACTTTAGCCAAGCGATGTTAGGTGCTTCCTGGAGACGATAACCTGCTGAAATTCTGTAAAATGTTCTTAAGGAAGGTAATTTTAGGGTGTCGCTACCTTCGTTCGTTGGTCGAATAACTCACCAAAGACTGTCGCGAGCGCTCATCGTTCTCGATGGGGTATAAATGGCCCTCGCAAGGAAGAATAACAACGGAATCGAAAAGGTGCGATTTCCCTCCCTATGCTCGGGGTTGGAGGTTGGTTAATCGCGTCGACCAGCGAGAGATATCGATTCAGGAAAAAGCGTCGGGACGATTTTCCACGGAGCGAACGCGAACAGAGATTTTCCCGAGGAAACGCTAATGCAACCGGAAGGAAGGTGCGGTGAAATATAGTCGGTAGGAATAAAACGAGAACGAGCAGAGACGGAGTAGCGAAACGGTCGCACAAGGGGGGGGGGGGGCAGAAAGTAGCAAGATGGGAAGACGAGGGAGGAATCGGTAGAGGAGCGACGCGGAAGAAGGGACAAGAAGCGAAAGGGAGACGGAGGTTAATTAAGGGAAAACTTAACGACGGGGTTTGTCCAGCCCAGGTCCATTCCTATGCGCGGCTCCCTGCCTCTTCCGTGGACTGACTTTGACTCGAGTTAACGCCGAAAGTTCCGCGTGGATTTTTGAAATTCTAATTCGACCACCGTCTAATCTGCTCGGGGTTCTTCTCTTGCCTCCGTTACCCTCCGCGCTGCGACACGAACTCTTCGTCGCGAGATTGGGAGTCTCGGTAGAGTCTGGGAGGTGATAATAACGGATACAGATAAGGGATAGCAGTTTATTCGAGGCTTCTTGTTTGTAGAAAACACAACTAAATGTTACTGTTACCATTAACAAATAATTCTTCACCTGTTAGTCTCGTTTTATTATTCGAAAAAGTAGATACCGATCGAAAGCTTAATTAATGGTGTAGACATTTATCGCGTAGACTCCCGCAACATTTATTCTACTAGGATACCAACAGCTTGAAGTCAGCAGTCGGGCGAGTACGAATACTCGTTCGCGACTCGCTGTATACGCCTCTCGGGAAGCGTACGAGCGGCGCACACAGCCACGGGCTACCTATAGAAGCAGAACTAATTGCACTGTATTTAATTAAGCCGCGGATTATTTCCTTAACGAGGGCAGATCTCTATTCTTCCTTCCTACCACTTCAGCGGCAGGCTTCGTTTCAATCTTTTACAATTTTCCATCTCTATTTCTACGGCTCGGGGAGGAGGTATCTCGGAGATCCGCGGTTCACCGTCACTCTCACCCCCCCCCCCCCCGACGCGTCGCGACGTCGCTATTCTTTTTCTCTCTCGCGGACTGTTTTGTAACGATCGCGTCGCACTTCGTGCGAACGAATCTACCGCGGTCTCAGCGTATTTATCTTCGGATCGTTTACAGAGGATGAATAAAAGTACGACGCGCGGGCAATCGGAAAACTAATATCGCGCGTCATTCGCGTGCCCGGAATCCGTTCCGAACGATTCATTAAACTCTCGTGAAGCGGTCTCGCGGTGCAGATCACGAAATGTTGGCCAGAAGTTTCGCTTGGAACTTTAAATAAAGAAGAAATTCGAGTCATCGATTTTGCTCGGTGAGAGGTAGAGATGGATAAATAAAAGTGGGTGGTGACGACTAGGCTGGATGAGCAGTTCTAAGCGAGATTGCAGGGGCACTCCTTCCAAATAATATTTCCCAACATACCGTAAATCTGTTACCACGAACTTCGAGAAGGAAACAACTACCATCCTAATCAAAAGAAGATAAGTAGCCGAAGCTCGAAGAAAGCACGACTTTCGACCGCGAGGAGTTGTTCCTAGGGCTGAGGAAATAAAAGCCCTAGAGGCAGAGGGAACCGAATCCAGTCGGGCAACGAAGTTTCCTGCTCCTTCGTCCGGGAAAGGAGTCTGAGTTCGGGGTAGCACGAGGTTACGCGCGTATCGGCGGCTGGTATCATCGGCAATAGGGAAGAGCACGATATGAAAGAAAGGGAAATGACCGATAAAAAGGTGGACCGGCGGAAGGACGCCGGTTACGAGGGAAAATCCAGTGGACGGACGCAATCTAGGAACTCTCGGGAACCAATCTCCTCTGATGAAAATACCTCGCTCAAAGCGGACGGTTTTCCAGCCGGGGCCAATTTCTTTCTTGACCCTTTTTTGGAATATCGCGCGCGCGGGAGCACCAAGCGTGCGCCGTTGCTTCGTTCAGTCTCTGCAGCTTCGAAAATTGTCCATGGAACGAGGAAGTCTCGCGATCTCGTGTGTATACCTTGCTGCTCGCGTCTACGAGATGGCTTGATAAAGGAATACGAGCATGATTGGTGGCTACCGTAAAGGCACGCTTTACAGTCACCTGGTTACAGGTTATAGAAAGACACTGCCACGTAAATGTTAATGCCATCAGGATGGTGGTGGTTCTAGGAACCTATGGTTCCACTCTAACTGAAAGGCCATCTTCTTGTAGACGAAAGAAATGCTTAAAAAACCTGACAATGTTACCACGAAACATTAGCTACATGGAATAGAGCAACTTCCAACGTTCTAAACAGTTTCTTCGGATCGAGATATCGTTTCACCCGAAACCGAGTGGAGTTTGAAGAAGAAAATCTAACGACGACGGAACGAAACTACCGATATCGTGGCCCATTCGTTTTCCGGAGTGGCTTATTACCTCGAAGACTCCAGCGATAGGAGAATTCGCGAAATTCGCGCGTACACCGAACGCGTGCGCATCGACTCCATGGGAAAACCGAAGAGATAAAGATCGAGCAATTCCACGTTAGCCCGGAGCTCTTCCTGGAACCTGCACTGCGACATTTATGCCGTTCTCACCCTCTGTGCTTCTACCTTTTCCTGCCTCTTTCCGTCGTTATCTCTTCCCCTCCCTTCGGCGGGCGCTTCCTTTCATTCGTCGTCTCTTTCCTCCGCTTCTGCTCGCCCTCTAACCTCGAACCGATGGGTTAGGAGCGAAAGAAGGTGCGGGATTGCCGCCCGAAGATGGATTCCGGTATCGAAGGATCGTAGCCAGGATTTTCCAGGTTATATTCCTGCCGCGAGCTATACGGGATATCCCGAGGAGATTCGAACGTACTCCGCGGCACCGACTGCTTTGAAGAGCACCCATGAAAGTTACACCCGACGTACCTCGTGGACTTTATGATCGACTGCAGCAACTCGACCCCGCCGCTTCATCCACGGAACTCAATCGCAGGATTATTTATTTATTCGATTAACGGCAAACAAATCCTCTGGCATCGTCGATGTATGCGTGGTGTATTCGTGAAGGATATGGAATGAGGAGGTTCTCTGATACTTAGTCTTCATCGATCACTTTCCAAGGACTCTATTCGTCTAATTTTTACAAGAAGCATAGGGGTATACATTGCTCTGCATCAAGAAAATGGCCTTTTTTAAAATTGTACGTAATTAAGGGGATCAAGAGCGTCTATACTCCATTTGAATGTATAAAATCATCCCTAAACAACGCTTACTTAGCCCCCAGGAGATTCCATCGACCGTGGTTCAGAAACGCGAAACGTTGAACCCGTCTCGAGAGGGTTGCCGAGAGTTCCCGCTCCTCGAGAAGTCTTTAACTCGCGATCACGTTCCAAGGATTAAGCGAAAAAGCGTAAACAGCATGCCCGACGACGGAACGTCCACGTGGCGGGCGTCGACGGACCAGAGCAAAGGAACAACGACCGAGGTAGGGTTCGCGCGCGTCTTCGATTGCCTCATGCATTTTTCAACAGTCGCCATTTGTTTGATCAGACTTAGCGCCCGCTGAGAACTGCACTTTTCGCTCGACGTCGGGAGTGACGTCGACCCGACGACGACGCGAGTCTGGCAAGTTGAGCGTGTGTTTGCCCATCCGTGCCATGGAAATGGGGGAATGGCTCGACGAACCGAAGGATGCTAACGCGTTGGCTGCAGCCCTGTCCCACTCCGATCAACCTTTCACCCAATCTTTACGAAAGTGTCTGGCCCGAGGCAGGGTTTCCATGTGCGGGAATTATTGGGTGCGACGAGAACACTTGTTTGGGAGAACACCTGCTTTCGAATGGCGCCACTTGACTCGACTAACAAAATAAAAAGCATACTGGCCCGTGAGATATCAGAACAGACAGGGAACTAACATTGAAGCCACTGAACTGGCTCACTCCTCATTTTAGCATGTGTCATTCTTGCGCACCTTGAGGATTTTAGGTCGACCAGACAGATTGAAATTGAACTTCCTTCCTCGGTACTAGCATTCATCGAAATCGTTCTACGAGGAACGTTTGCTCTTTCAGAAAGCAAAGAAACAAACGGGTACCTCGGGGCGCACGTCCGTTCATCGATTTTTTTTTTCAACGCGACGCTCATCCACCTCGGCTTTCGAAGAGGCTAATACGCCGTTCGAGGGTCCTTTTCAGGGAGCCGCTAAATTTGTTTGACACCAGAAATTACGACGCGCTTTTCAGGGGCTCGTAAAGGCGTTGCTTTGATCTTGATTAAACTCTTCCGGCGCTCGCCGCTTATTACTTTCCTGGCTGTTATTGAATAACAGAGTGGTGGAACCCTGGCTGTCGGTCAAAACTCGACTCGCATTCCTTGCATTCCTCGATGCTTCGAGGAAAGTCATGAAAATTTTTGGTGCGTAGGTTTGGGTTAGGTGTTTGTTGATTTCTGTTTTGTGTTGTATCTCAAAAGAGGTTCGTCGGAATATCGTGAAGTTTCATTATTCTCATGGTCGGGGGGTTTTTAGTAAAATCTAGCGTAGATGGATGTGTTTGGTGGTCTTTGTTTTGTTTGATATCCCATGGTGGTCTATTATGCAACTCAGTATAGAGATTTCTATTGGGTTACGTTTGTTTGGGTACATTGTTTTTCTTTTTCGACTCACCTATAACCGTGAGGTTGTATCGAAAGCTGCGCGTCTGGCCCTTCCTGAAGTCGACCCTGCACCTGTAGGTGGCCGCGTCGTGCCTCTTGATGTCCTCGATGACGAGAACCGCGGGGCTGGGAAACGCGGTCCGGAAGTACGCGCGGGGGCCGAATACGCCTGAGTCCGACGAGTGTTGCGCTTTGGTCACCGGCTTCTCTCGGGCGTCGATCCTGCAACAGACGAAAAAAAAAATAGCCCCGGGTCAATAAAGAGGCCAGTGACGCTTGTTTACCGGCTGTAATTGTCGTCGTCGGGAACAATGGGTGCCGGGCTCTCCTCGCTAGCCAGGAAACGACAATTGGGATTTATCGAAAGGTCGATCCGTAACTGGTTAACGTAATATAAATGTAATTTGCCAGTTACCAGAGCTTGGCAAATACGCCGATAGTTTCAATCCTCGGAAATGCGATGAACGTTATTACGCGTCGTCGATCGATTCGCTGGCGAAACGCTCCATTGGAAATTTATTTATTTATAGACGAGGGAAACTCTTCATAACGGGACGGGGCCGTTAGAATCAGGACATTTCGATAATTTCGCTGTATTAAATTAATGGACAAAAAACAGGCGCATAATTTGATCGCCTGAAATAAATACTATGTCCAGATTCTTCTTTAATGAACGCATTCAAAAATATAGGAGGAAAAGATAGACCGATTTGATTCGAACGCGAGGAGTCCTCGTCTGATAAAAATATAAAGAGGGACCCCCTCCCTTGTCAAAAAACTTTACCATTTAATCGTTCGCGGAGTTCCGCTGCATCCCACTTTTTCTGGCATGGAAGGGCGCGTTTGATGAGAAGCGGTCTCGAGGAGAGCGCAAAAGAGATACTCGATACCATTGCTCGCATTCCCCGGTACTTCCGTGGAAACTTCTTGCCCAGGCTTTGTCTTTGTCGTTCCCGATTCTCGCCCTTCCCTGGTCCCGAATCGGTCCTTGTTTTTTCTCGGTTGGGACGCTCGCTCCCGACTCGCACTAGGGAATCCCAAGAATTCGCGGAACGGGCCGCGGTATTCGATATGTATGTAGGAAACGATCGCAATTTCCGGCCAATGAAATTCGAGCGGAACGCGCGGAGGTTTCATTGCAATGGAGTGCACGGCACAGAGGGAATACGGGCGGAGTTGAAAAGTCTCTTTCGTTGCGGATTCGTCGAGCCAAGCCGTTGCTACCTCGTTTACCAGAGAATATAATTATTTCGTATCGATGGAATAATTATCCTCTGAACTGGGGCCTGCAACGCCCGGCCGGCCAGAGATAACACAATTAAATCGTGGCCCCCATTATCCGATATTTTGCGCACGGACACCTCCGGTTCGCCATTTGAAGAAAAACTGCCCGTTATCACCGCGAAAATAACAGTTGGAACGCGCGGGAGCGAAACGCGATGATGCAAAAAGAAATATTACACGAAGCATCGGTTACACGATATCGCGAAAAGATACGCGATTGTAGCGAAAGGATTTCAGCGATTAACATTTGCTAGGAAAGGTTTTATAATATGTTTTAGTGTTTGCAAGATCCGAATGTAGGTCAGAATAATTTCATGGAATTTTATGAAAGAATCACTTTATTATGAGATCCACTTCTCTCCAAAGTAGAAATAACCAACAATGGTTAAACGCGCCAGCCCAGTCGTATTCACTATAACAAGAAAAGTTTCGTTCTACATTTTTTTATTTATTCCTCCACACAGAACTTGTAATATATTATATCGAAATAGAAATTTCGAATTCATCTTGGTTGTCTTTCGAAAAGATCAGAGCTTATAACTCGAAGCGTCGAGATCAAATCTTTAACAAGTCCCGTTGACCTATACCATTAATCGTATTTGGTTTTATTCTAAGCGATAAATCGTCCTATTGAAACGGTTATTTTTATCGAGCCTAGTTTGACAAAGATTTCCAGCGTAGTGTGCCTTCCCGGTCGACAGTGGTACGACCAAGGCGGAAGTAGATCTCGAAATAAATGATCCAGGATGAAAGACGATGTAATGGGCCGGGTGAAATGGCGGAGATTGATGAACACGGGTCGTCGTGTATCGCGAAGGGGATTAAGACGTGGCTAAAAATCGCCCGTGTTCCTCCGTTTTCTCTGTGAAACGCCGTCTCATCGATAATTCGCTCTCGGTAATTTACGATCTTAATTTTCCACGGGTAACAAATCCTTTATCGTGTGTCTTAATTAGCAATTTAAAGGAAATTCGAAGTCTGTTCGGCCACTGATTGTTCTGTAAGTATCATTACATATACCGTGAAAAGTCAATTATTTAAGACAGAACACGGAAAAGAAATAATGTTAACTTCGCGTGCATCGCAAAGCATGGGTCCATAGAAGTTATAACAACAGCCTCGAATGAAAGGACACGATCGAAATGAAATAATGAACGGAAGTATTCCAGCCACGGTTCCGTTTGTGGCAAAAATCCCTCAACTATTTATCACATTTCATCCGCGTATTTCATCTGTTTCATCAGAGATCCCGCGAATTCAACGAAAGTTTCGAATACTTGCGTGGAAGCGACGTTAAACCGCGGCTCGAGGAAAATTCAACCCTGTGATATTCATTAACGAACGCCCGGCGCTAAAAACGTCTGGATCGGTGCCCGTGTTATGGCGGGCGATAAAAAACGAAGTGGATGAAGAAAAAGGAGGAAAAAAAATCGTCAAGTGAAATACTGTTATGGAACGAAGGTTTAATGCGCCATAATTATGTAGCATTAGCCCCGGTGCCATATAATGCGCCAGCCGTAATTACTTGGTCTTGCGATTCTTCGTATTTATCACGTTGTCGTTTTGACGATCCCATAAAATTAAACTCCGGTGTTCTGAATACTTTCTCTTTCAGCAAAAAAAAAATATTCTTCCCGTTAGTCTCAGTCCAGTTTCTTAATGCAACACATGACGTTTTATCCGCGTTTTTTTATATTTTATTTTCGCCATATTTGATAGGCGCTTCAATGAACATAGTTAACGATACACGATGGATACGTTCTTTGGCTCGCGATAAGGGTAAGGGTTGCAGGAAACTTGCTTCTTCGTAACGATTGGAAACGCTAGTCGCGAGAAATTAAAAAGTTTGCCAACTCGCGGCCGGTGGAAGTTTCGCGGGCAAAGCTGCTTTCGTTGTGGAAAACACGAAATTACAAAACATCGACGTTAAATCGTTGGAATTCAATCCTAGCCGGGGGTTCATTAATTGGCGGCAACGGTTCCACGGAACTTTCTCGAACTTTCCAGTGAATTCAGTTGCCGTTCCGTCTTGTCTGTAGCGGCAGTCGGTCACGGCGATCGTTAAAACGTAGAATGGAAGACAAGCGATTGTAGAATTGCTACGGTGTGCTCGTCGCGATCGGTGTTATTTGAAATAACATTGATTATATGGAACCCTTGGAAATGAATAGACAGATAGATTTATCGAACACGTGCAACATTTTCCAAGAACAGAAAACAGTCACAGTTTTGAAGGGATAGGACGTAATAAATAATAAATCCTTTTGGGCAGAGATGACCATTAGCTCGAATTTATTTATTTTTTTTTTTTATATCTTCGTAGAAGTTTTCTGAATGAACCAACAATTCATTTACTAGAAGTGAAATATTATATTTGCATTTTCCAAGGCTTCACCAAGCGAGCCTCCAGGAAAATTATTGCAATAAATAAGGTCTCCTTCCCGTAGCCAAATAAATTACGAGTTCGATAAATCAATTTCTCCGAGAGGTAATATTCTAAACAATGAATCAGCCGAACTACTAACAGGGAGCTATTACTCGACGCATTTGAAAGAGCACTTTGTACGATATCTCTCCTGATACCAGTATGACGGGCCAAATCGATACCTGAAGCAGACGCAAAGAACGGACCCGGCGGAGTATTTTAATGGAGTGTCGCGCGTTTTTCACGCGTATTATTATTTTAGCCAGCGTCGAGCAGCGGATAAATCTTCGGTAGTCGGATTTCTCGCGCCATATCCGCGAAACCGCGTGGAACGTGCGTACGTTCACGCGTTATAAATATAAAAACTCGCGCGGCCTCGCGACAAATCGATTTCCACTCGTCGAGTTATTCCTCTTTCTGGAGTTTCTCGACGAGCGAACGAGGTAACGCTCCGTCGTCTACTCCATTTTTTCTTTCCACCTCGGAGCATTCCCAACGACTTGAACGCCGACGATAGACGGGAGAAGGTTATGATGATCGTCGTATCAGTGATAGACCTACTCTACTTAATTTGAGAAGTGGAGGTTCCTCGGTTTTACTGACATTAATTCGACAGGTGTACGGATCGATAGAGATACTTTAAATAGATTCTGTAGGCAAGTAAATTCTTCATAACAGGGTTCAGTAAACTCGTCCTCTTCATTTTATAATAAAGTAAGAAATTCAAAGTGTTTGTACCAGTCTACATTCATCGTCTAATTTCGAATGAATTTCAACAATGAAATTCTGAACGAATGTCTCGAACACGTATTTTCTCCATCTCATCTAATAAAGTGCCCCAAATGCCGACGTATTCGTCTCTGTTAATTTCCAGCTAAACTCCCGTCGGCAAGCACCCGGGTGCGTCATCGGAGGATCTTTTCAGCTGCTCGATCCACGTCGAGTAATACGAAATCGATGTCTGTTTTATGAAACGTTTTATCTCGCCGCGCAGCCCTCTTTCCAATATTTCGCCCCGTTTTCGCTCCACCACCTTCGCGACCTTTTCCTTCGACCCTGTGCTCGATCCACTTGGCCTCTCTCATCCCTCTCCCTCGAGCTCGGCTACTTTCTTCGCCGGTTACACGCCATCCGCCCTTACCTCGGCCCTTTCCCTCGTAAAAATGATACACGTCCTCCGGGCAAAGGGTAAATAGCGACGGCATAAATATAACCAAGACTCGTGTTCGTTTTTACGACTTCGTTTTACCGCGAGGTTTTTCTTGTTAATTAAGTTCCAGCGGCTACTTTGCAGCGGACGGGGGTTTCCTTGGGAACCAAGACCGATAACGAACGTCCGCGGTAACAAAGTTATCAATCGGTCGGTTAGCACCCCGAGGGCCTCGACAAGATTCTTAATTCGTTGTTCGTTTTAAACGAAACCATTTTTGTTATTTCATTTTTCTCCGGGCGAACTTTTCCATCCTCTCCTCTCTCCACACGGTTGCACGAAGAAAGACGAAGTTCGAACGGG